AGAAACATGATGTATGAGAAACTCAAGGAAGAAGATGATGCATTCGATTTAAAGGTAAAAACATGGTGACTCAAGAGTATCTGAAGATGATTAAGATCAAAGTTCTGTAGCGCAATTCAACATGGAAACTGTTGATGAGTCTGATGAAGAATCTGAAAAAAGATCTGTTCGAGCATCGGCTCATTGCCAGTCATTGGTGAAAAATTTTGTTTCTTTTTGTTTCTTTGGTTTTTTTATTATGATTTCTTGGTTTTTCAATTGCTTCTTCATTTTTATCTTTATAATCGTATTTACCGTTTAACTCATTTAAGTTTTCAGAATGGCAATAACTAGAAAAAACTTGTTGGAGAAAAAGAGAGATAATGGAACACTCAGACCCAGTAAGTTTACAATACTATCTTGACAGGTCATAACTTGGCTTTTCAGATATCGGAACTACTCGTCAGTTATTGAATCAGCTGATTGTTATGAAAAATGAAAACGGAAAGCGTTATGATACAGTCCTGAATGAGAAAGAGGTTTTAGAAAAAAAAATCAATGAAATGAAAAAAGATGTAAGAGTGTTTTTGAATCTAAAAGTTCTATTAATGTTTATTTCAGAAAGAAAAGCTCACACGTATTCCCGTTAAAAAAAAAGAAATTTTGGAAGAGGCTATCAAAACAAACAAAAAGCTCAAGTCAGAGCTTATGGATACGAATGCCAAACTGGGCGAATTAAATAAAAAGGTGATTTCCAATTGTTCGCGATGTTCATTTGCTTTTTTTAGAGAATTTCTGCTGATTCAGATCGGCGAAGATTGTCCAGATCCACATATAGATCATACGGAACGGGAGGGCTGCAATCACACCGCATTCAGCTTCCAGTTCTGTTCAGAAGGTGGAAGTTGAAGGAGAAAAGTATGAAAATTAAAAATTTTTATATTTATAATAAAGTTAAGTTAAAGTTCAGGGAAGAAGAAGTAGTTTGGAGAACAAGCTCCCGTGTTTCGTGAAAGATCAGCTTTTACTTTTCTTCAGGATAAGAGGGTATGGGTGCTCTTATGGCAAGGCTGAGCCAGCCTAAATATCGAATGCGCAAAAAGGAAGAAATGTGAGTGGTTTTGTTTGCAGCTTGCATATCAATTGTTTAAAGGTTGTTGATGATAAGAAGTGGAACAACTGGTTCTAGAGGGTTCAACTGGAATGTATTTTGTCAAATAAGTTTTCTTATAGTTATTTTCTCAATCTGTTATAATCTCTATAATGAAATACATAATCTTTATCTTAATTTCGTATATATATGCATGCTATGTGATTCAACATATGCACCTGGCTTCAAACATATTTATAATATTTTCATAAGCTGTATATATGTTCTAATATCTGCCTGTTATATGTCTGTCCTCAGCTATCGATGTTTCTGTCCATGTTTTGGTCATTGTTTGTAGAAGGCTTGTTTCAGATGATGTTACTTCAAACTATACTATCTTCAGTATGGTTTCTTTATGTGCTGTTTAACTTACCTATTATCTTTGGCGAGAAGATGGTTCAACAGGACTCTTCATCTCCACCAGTAAAGTTCAACGAGCCTACCATCTTGCTGAACGAAGAAAAAATGTCCTTGGATTTAGACTTGAAAAACATTTTGGACCCAAAACTACTCAATTTCGAGGAAAAACTGAAGAGAATGGGAAAAAAAGCTCTGATTGAGCCCGGAAGGTACAATTTCAGAAACTAATTATTTAATGAAATTGGTTTTTCAGTTATTCTATCATAAAAGAGTTCAATGAAGCTGAAGCAGCACAACTTGGTACCATCAGCAGTGGGGTGAGTTCTTAAACTTCATAAAGAGATAATTTAATTCCTTCAGGCGGACTCGGATGATGGCTGGGTTGTCACTATTCTAGGTGTCTGCTGCATTCTGGCTGCTCTTTCGTTCTTTATTTGGTGTGTCCTTTACATAATGGATTATACATCGAATGATGAGTAAGATAATTATTAATTTTTTTTCTTGTTATAGTTCGTTGCATAGAATGCTTGAAAACGAGAAAGATGATGATGATGAAACCGTCGAGAATGAGCAAGAGCTGGAATACGATGATGAAATCGAAGATGAAGAGGGATTCGACGATGAAGAGTTATTCGAGGAAGAAGAAGTTGTAATCGACACAGCTGAAGGAGCAGAGGTCCTTTAAACTGATACTCAAATTGCATATTTCTCATTTAGTATTGAACTCATGTAATGTAATGATAGTATGATAGTAAGTAAACAGCAACCTGGATTGAACAAAATTTTTATTTTTGAAATGTTTGGGGTTCATCTAAATTTAAAAAAAAGCTGTAATCAAACACGCGGGGCATTCATCAAGATGCTTAAGCAACAGGCTCGGCTGCCGTCTCGGTATCAGGAACCTAAATTCATTGAAGGTTTAACCTACAAATGCCTTCATGTTATACCTCTGGGGCGGCGGCTTCAACGAGCTGATCTGGAAGATCTTCGAAATCCTTGTCAGGGAGAAGTAAAGGTGCTGGATTGACTGGCGGACGAGCGGCATCTCCTTCTGCTTTAACTAGCTCCGTATATTTTGGAGGTTCAAGGTTCTTCCTGTAAAAGGTTAAAATTAGTACATTTTCATACTTCCGGCTTTAATCATGCCTCAATTGTTCGAGTTCCTCATTTTCTTTTCTTCCCCACTCTGGAGGTGGACGGGCAGTTCCGCGAACAATAGTGAATGGCTTCTTGACAAATGGATTTTCGAACAGATAACGACGATCACCATAAGATCTGAGCGGATTAAGTAGCTTAATATTGGTATTTTGAATGTAACACTACCTCCTGTCAATCTGCCTATCAAACTTGGAGGATACGGTAATCTTGGGTGGGTGAGTAGAGCTGGCGGCCTCCTCAGGATCAAGACCCTTCTTCAAGGCTTTATTACGAGCTACTTGACGTTGACGCTCATGGAGTTCTTTGACCTATAAAATTTAACTGTAACATGACATTATATGGAGATATCAACATCATATTCTTGTCTTTCGTATCTTTTTTCCAAATCGTATTTTTCAGCTTCCAACTTGATGACACGAGCGTGAAGAGCCTTGATCTTATCCTGAAGATAATCAAAAATTAATCTTTCACGAAACACGGGATTACTTTCAAATCGTTTGGAAGAAGACCTGACACGTCAATAGCACGACAAACTGCACTGAGATAAGCTCTCTTGGCTTCTTCGTTTTGTTCTGGCGAAGCTCCTCCTGTTGCTTTTGTGGCCTATAATATTCAATAAATACTGGTCTAACCATGACACAAACTTGAGCCAAGTTTCCGAATTGAGCAGCTTGTTCTCCTTTGCTGTTAACAACAAAGTTTTTTCCAGTAGCGGTGGCAGTTGCAGCTGCAGCGAATGATCCAGCCATCATCTGTTGACGTCTGGCTTTTTCTTCATTCTTACGTGCTTTTTCAGCATCAGCTTTGTTCTTTCTGTCTTCCTGCACAAAAAAAAGTGATTTCTGCAGAAAGAAAGTAACTAACTTCATCTTTACGTCTTCTTTCTTCATCTTGACGTCTACGTTCAGCAAAATCTCTCTCCTCTTCTTCTCTCTCAGCTCTTAAGACATTAAACCATGACACCTACATATGAGAAATTGCTACCTTCTCTTTTCTTGTTTGATTTTCAGTTCACGAAGCTCATCTTCAATTTTTTGCTTCTCCAGAACACGTCTTTGTTCATAATCTAACAACTTGGCAGCTTCTTCTTCTTCGTGACGTTTTTTAGCTGCCTGGAAATGAAAAGTACAAAATGTTTCATTCCGGTTCTTCTACAAGCATAGCAGCTTCAGCCTCAGTCATTTCTGCTGGGGGTTTTTCTTCTTGAACTGGAGGTGGACGAGGTTTTGGTCTAAAAAATTATACTTGTTGAGTGTTTTTATTCTTTGCCTACTTTTCCTCTTGAACTGGAGGAGCCTCTTCGGCAGTTGTTTCGGCTGCTTCCGAAACCTCTTCTTCCTCACTGAACGTTAATATTAATATAAAAATTTTTAATGTTCAAACTTTTCTTCTTCTACTGGATCGGCCGCTTCGGACTCTTCGACCTCTTCAATCTCCTCCTCTTCACCAGATCTGATTGGAACACATATATGAAAGACTCAAGAGATATATCACTTACAACACTTCCTCTTCGTCGGACATGTTGAAAAATCAGGATCAAGATTCGAGAAATCTTAAAAAGTTAAAACTTGAAAAAAAAGAAAAGTAGTTTAAAAAAGTAAAACAGAGTAGGCGAAATGAAAGGCGAGCTTACGCCATGAGTGAAAAGTTCCAAATAATTTTTCGTTTTCTGGCAAAAGGTTTGAGGTGTTGTAAAGAAGCCAGCCGTCACAAACACAAAGATAAAATCCAACAATTGGCTTTTTGACATCTGTGAAAAAGAAGATGAAGGCGTCTTGAGCAGATAGAGCGAATGATGAATTTTCACATTTCCAAATATTGATGAGATAATGTAATTGCTTATCTGAACGCTCATCCAACAATTTATTGTTTTCTGTTTATTTTTCTCAACAATCATAAAAAAGAAAACATAACATTGAATTAAATTAATTAAGTTCGGTTAGGACCAGCCTATCGTGCCAGCTAGCTGAGAGAAAGTTCGAAGAAAGTTTTGTTCAAATAAAGAATTTTTGAGCATTGCGGAGTTGTTATGATGAGTTATGGAAGATGAAAGACATTGAAAAGTTAACTGAGCTCTGGCGAACTCTTTCAAACGGATTGGGCGTTGTAATAGAGCCTAAGGGTCAGACCTGCTTTAAACAAAGTCAGCGGAGGCGGAAACATGCTCATCAGAGATGCCGAGAAAAATTGTTATTTCGAAACTGATTCTTAAGAAAATAATTAGTCTGCTAGGTGTAAAAGTAATTGTTTGATTGAATGAATGAAGTGAATGATGATGGTGATGTTCAATTGATTGAACGTAGAGAAGAGACAACCATTAACATGTATTGCCAGATGGCAAATGAATCCGAACGGAAACATGAATTATGAGATGAACAGCTTTATAGATGTTCGAAGTAGAAGGAAAAATTTTGTTCTAAGAATGCTATAGCATCAAGTATAATGAGTAAGACAGCAAAACACAAAGGGGTATGAATGTAAATTAATATAGGTGATTTTCATTTGTTAGGAGAACAATTTCAAAAAGAATCTCGAAGAGCAGGCGTACAAATGAACAACAAAGCTGGTGTAAACTGCAGTTTACTAATTGTCAGTTGTTGCTTCAAGCCAGATGTAAAAATAGATGTTTAACTGATATCACGGTGAGTGGCAAATGATTCGAAATATTCCACGATTCTCTCATTACAACCTGCCATGAGGGATCAAAAATAAGAAAAACTGTCAAAAAGTCCAGGGGGAATGCTGAATGATGATAGATAAAATGAATGATCAATTTTTTCAACACTTTTATAATGATGAATTTTGAGATTAGTGTTTGTGTTGACTGTTAGACACACGCAATGACAACTCACTCATTCTATTCAATCTCTCTCTCTCTCTCTCGCTCTCTTTTTGAACTATAAATTGCTTTCTCTTCTTTCTCATATCCTTATATTGTATCCGGGTTAGAGAAAGCTAAATTTCTTAAAAAATGCAAATTGAGATATTCATAATTCTTGATAAATATGACCTCCTTACTCTCTTCGCTTTGCGTCCACTTGATGAGACAAATTCGAATTTATATCTTATTTCGCATGCAACTAATTCAACTCTGTAATTTCAGAATAAGTGAAGAACACTTGAGCATGTGATCTTGTCTCAATGAGTATTACTTGAGTAAACATTAAAATCCTAATTGGATAGAGTAATTTAACCTTTCCTATGCTTATTCTCATGATTTCGAGTAGAAACTTGGTCTTCTTGCTCACAAAACTTGTTTATCGCCCAAAATCTTTTTTTTTTCATTATTTTCATGACAAAAAGGAAGAAATATGCTTTTCTACTTCATTTTTAGTTATTCCTCCTACAAGCTGGATGTTTCCTTCATTTCAATTCATTTTTCATTTTTTCGTTCAAAGCACAAATCATTCATATCATCTATTATGAGATATTTTGAGCATCGCGTACTTCTCATCAGTCAATAAAAGATATAACAACTCCCACACTCATCATATATACCTCTAGATAGGCGGAGGAAGTTTAAAGAGCAAACGGAAACATGAATGAACAACGCAAAATGTATTATCAAATCCAAATATAGTTACATCCTCTTCTTCAATCGATTTTTTTGTTTTTTTATAGTATATAGTATCAATACTTGTCTAAAAATCATGTCTAGCTGACATCAAACGATTCTGATAATCGTCGGTCATTTTTCTCAATTTCAACCCATTTTCGGCATTGTTGTATCAATTAAGACAATCAACAGTTGACTATTATTCAACTGAATATACTATAATTTCGATTTGCAAGCTTAGTAATGTGTTTTTTTGCGTTACTTGCTCATATAAACCCCCCGTCTGCCTCTTCCTTCTCCACCCTCCATTTATTCTGGAGCATTCTTGCTTGAATTAAAAATGCTATAGTGCAAATAAGCGCATTCCCAACTTTGTCTGTCCTAATGTTAAGTTAAGAAAAATATTTCGTACTTTATTTGAAAATCTTCTTCACTAAAGTAAAGGCGCTCATTTGCATAAGCCTTACGCCACCAATAGAATTTGCATCTTTGAAAACTTTAAAGCAATAAGAACGACTTGATAAATCCATCAAATCATTTCAAAAATTAAGTCATATCCAGCTTTTTAGGCTCAAAAATTTATCAAAACCCATCGCGCTTTTTGGAGCCCATTTTGGCTAGGCTTTAAATGGAAAGGCCGACTCAAACATCCTGCACAACGCTTCTGATAGAATTTCCTCTATTTCACTTAAAAGACTAGAAGGCTGTTGGAAAAGGAAATAAACACAAGATTTAAAAAATTCTTTCTTCTACTTTTCTTCTTCTTTTTATTCTTATATCTCACACACACGTCATTCTTTCTTTCATTTCGGCTACTCTTCACTCAGCGAGATAGAGCATGATTGCAAGCATGTATGGAATGATGCAAGAGAGTTTGACCTTTTCAATAAACTCTTATTCCAAATGCTAGCTGTAGGTAAATGAAAATGCTGTTATTTATGAATTTCCTCTTATCCCTCTCTTCATATCTTTCTCTCTCTCACTCTTTCACTATATCACTTCCTTGCTCCCTCCCCCATTCAAATTGAAAGAGATACATATCATTATGTGTTTTTTCTTCATTCAAAAACGGTCGAGAGTGTAGATTAACAAAAAAATAAGAAAAAATCAAAATTGATAGTTCCTATCTGTTTTTTTGTTGAATGAGTCTTCATCATATTGAATATTGCACATCAAAGACAAATGTCTTGTATTCACTTTTTTCATTCTCATTTGTTATTTAATTTCTATATAACTTATTCATTTTCCTCTTCTCTCTGCTATCGTTTACCATTACTTTTTTCACGAGAGCATCAGTTTTCAGCCTTTTTTTGTTTCTCACTCTATATTTCCATCTCTCTTATTCTCTCTTTGATTCAATTGCTATTCAGCAATCAAATAAGAAACACATTCAATCATTTTGAAACAATCTTCTTCAACTATATATCCAGCTTATAACTAAAAGATAATTTGATGTTTGTTAGCTTAACTGGTAAAGATGACTACGAGAAGCATGCAAACAATACGATCTATGTTTATAACTTCATGCTCCAAGTAAAAGCATAATTACATATTCGAGTGAAATATCTGATTACACATTTGGGGGGGGGAGCTCACATAAACACTTTTCACTCTTCTTTAGCTTCTACTTCCAAAGATTGTTTTATTACTTAATTCTATGAATTATATGTTGTAACTATCATTTAATAGCCAATGCTCATGTTGCAGATATATTTGAAGGTGAAGGGACAACTGACTGACGCATCTGGCAACTCAAAGGAAGAAGAAGTTAACGCATCTGGCACAATATGATGGATAAAAATAATCAATTTTTTATTGAAAAAAGCAAAAAATTATAATTGAATCAAATTATTCTCACTATCACACTCATATACTACCGTATAGAGATTGTTAAGCTTTATCTATAAGCATTTACTATCTTTATTCTTAAAAAGTATAAAAGGAGAAAAGGAATTATGTATTCAATTCTAGCATTAGCTACTCAGATGTTAGTGCATACAAATACTGCACGCACTGTGAGTTACAATAATACGTTTAATTGAATGACAACATTCTTATGTTTTTCAGTCTACCATAGAACAAACGGATTTGATTCAACAACCAAAGGTAATAGAGCTTCCTCTATCATATTGAAAGATGGAAGCTTACAGATTCGCCAAATTCGTATTCCTGGGGATATCATCATTGGAGGAGTTTTTCCGGTGCATTCAACATCAAATAACCCGGAGGATCCTTGTGGTGAAATTGCCGAAACTAGGTGAGATTTTGAGTAGTTTTTAAACAAAAAACCTTTCAAAATGAGAGATTTTTTTTTTGTTTGTCGAAAACCTCCCATATTCATTTGAAGTTCTTAGGATTAGTAAAGTAAATCAATTTTTCGAGTTCTTTCATTGCAGGGGTGTACATAGAGTAGAAGCTATGCTATTTGCTTTGGACTTAATTAATTCTAATCCAAATATTCTTCCTGATCACAAACTGGTTGGTACAATTTTGGCAACAAAAGAGAATTATTCATTGACAATTCGAGGGTGCATTGATTGTGGATTCATGTTCTAATCCAGCTTATGCTTTGAATCAAAGTTTGGATTTTGTAAGAGATTTGATTGACTCAACTGATCAATCAGAGTTGGTCTGCAGGTATCTAGGCTACATCTCAAATAAAAATATAAAATTCTTGCAATTCAGCGATGGGAGTCGTCCATTCTCACCTATGCTCTATCAAAAAAACAGAATAGCTGCTGTTGTTGGTGGATCTTATAGTTCAGTATCGGTGCAAGTGAGCTTAATATTACAATTCCCATACTTTTATTCTATCTTATTTCCCCAGGTTGCTAATCTACTGCGGCTTTTTCAAATATCTCAAGTTAGCCCAGCTAGTACTAACTCTGATCTGTCAGATAAGACGCGTTTTGAATATTTTGCAAGGTTCCTATAACCAAATAAGCTATTCAAAATGACATATGATATCATTCAGAACTGTGCCCTCTGACGCATATCAAGCAATGGCTATGGCTGACATTGCTGCTCATTTTTTGTGGACATACGTATCTTTAGTCTATTCAGCTGATGAATACGGCGAATTGGGTAATTATTGAATTGAACATTCATATTTAGTTTCCTCATTTAACAGGCGCCGACGCTTTTAAAAAGGAAGCGCGTAAAAAAGGAATATGCATAGCTATTGAAGAGCGTCTTCAAATGAAACGACGAAGTTTTGAAGATTCTGTTGAGAATCTCATTAAAAAGTTTGTTAGTGCCAAATTGGAGTGGTTTGATTGTCTAATTAAGGTTGCAAGTGGAGAAGCCGGTTGGTGCAAGAGTTGTGGTCCTATTCGTTGGATCAGAGTATATTCCTGAGCTATTACGTATGACTGCAGAGAAAAATCAAAAGGCTTTCAATAAAAAACAGAACATCATATGGTTAGTTATAACTAACAATGAGAGATAGAATGAATTCGTTATAGGCTTGCATCCGAAAGTTGGGATCGAAATAATCCTAAGTATACAAAAGGAAATAACCGGGAAATAGCTGAAGGAGCCATTGTTCTTACTCTCACTTCAAAAAAAGTCCCAGCATTTGAGGAAGTAGACATTCATCATCAAATATAGTAATCAGAGATGTAATTTCAGTATTTTTTGGATATGAAACCAGGGACTCCAAAATTTGAACGAAATAAGTGGATGAAAGAGTTATGGATTCAAAAATATAATTGTAAATTTGATATTGATGAGGATTCAGTGCCATCTGAGATCAAGAGGTATATAGATCATTTACAATTTTAAGAATATGAGCAAACATTTGTTTAAGATGTGAAGACATCGTACCTTCGAAAATATTTCAAACCGATGACAAGGTCCAATTTGTGATCGATGCCATGTATGCTATATCCTATGCTCTTCACGTATGCTCATACCTAGAATTATAATACTAAGTTTCTAATTCTTAAAGTCTTATCGTAAAGATCAATGCTCAAACACAACTAAATGGATGGAAAGAACACCAAGAGACACAATGCTATGCGACAAACTAAAAAGCATTGATGGAGATATATTTTATAAAAAATATCTAATGAATGTTCAATTTGAAAGTAAGGCGCCAAAAAAAATGATGACAAACACCTTAAACCAATGATCACAGATATGTTTGGGGACGCTTTCCGTTTCACCCCAAATGGAGATGGTCCAGCTGCGTATACCATATTGAACTTTAGAACCAAACATAAGCGTATGTTGTACTTTGTACTGTTATGATAATCGGCGTCGTTTTGAGCGGGAAATGGTTCAGAGGAATCTGGCAATATTTTGAATGAGACTGAGTCAGATTATGTTGAGATAGGCCACTGGTCGGAAAATAATGTAAAATATTAATATATAATTATTCATTATATTTATTGTATAGTTAACTATATTGGATGATAAACTGAAATGGAGAACAGGATTTCTACCATTGTCATTATGCTCGTTACCATGTTCGATTGGTAGTAGAAAACAACTGATCAAGGTATTATTTTTGTCTGATATTGTTGTATAATGTCATACTGTAGGATGAGCAATGTTGTTGGGCTTGTATCAAGTGTGAACATAATGAGTATCTAGTCAATGAAACACACTGTTCACCATGTGAACAAGGGTGGTGGCCTGATGAAAGGACTAGGAGCTTCTGCTATGACCTATCTATAAAGAATTTAGAGTTTATGGTCTATTCATCATGGTATTCCATCATACCTATGTTTATGGCTGCAATTGGCATGATAGCTACAATTTTCACAATATTCATCTATATCAAGTTTGTATAGCATATCTCATGGTACTATAGTATTTATTGTCAGATATAATGATACTCCTGTTGTCAAAGCATCAGGTCGTGAGTTGACTTACATCATATTGCTTTCTATGCTTATGTGCTATGGAATGACTTTTGTACTGGTGGCTAAACCATCAACAATCGTTTGCGCTCTCAAACGTACTGGTTAGCAATATTACAGTCTATTTTATCTCAAAATCAATCTCGAACCATTTCAGGAATCGGGTTTTCATTCTCTTGTATGTATTCTGCCATGTTCGTTAAGACCAATCGGATAGCCCGTATTTTTTCGGAAGCAACAAGAACAGCCAGACGTCCACGATGTATCACCCCTCTGTCACAAGTGTTTTTGTGTGGAATACTGGCTGGACTACAACTTTTCGGAAGTCTGATCTGGCTCTATGTTAAAGAACCCGGTATGCAAAGTGGATAAGTTACAAATGGAAATTTGTCCTTTATAGGTACTCGGTTTGATTTTCCATCTAAAAAACAAGTTGTTCTGACTTGTAATGTACCTGATCATCATTTCCTATTCTCTTTATGTTATGCAGCTATTTTAGTGATATTATGTACTGTTTATGCCATAAGAACTAGAACGGTACTTATCTTTGAACAGTTATTACCAATCATCTGTTGAAGGTACCTGAGAACTTCAATGAAACGAAATTTATTGGTTTCACTATGTACACCACGTGTGTCATATGGATCAGTTGGATATTCTTCTATTTTTGTGGTGGAACAGTTGATTTTAAGGTGAAATCCTTTGAATTCGAATGAAATTTTATTTCAAGGATGTCCTTTCAGATGCATACCACATCGTTATGTGTATCAATTTCTATGTCTGCTAATGTGGTTTTCGCTTGTATTTTCTCCCCCAAAGTATGGATCATATTATTTGAAAAAGAGAAGAATGTCCATAAGCCCGAAGGCCAGTCAATGTTGAGTAAACGGTTTGTTATCTTCAAAGAAGACGTTTAACATCTGTCCATGTCATTTAAGATCTATGAGCAACAGTAGAACTCGTCTCTATTCTGGTGCTGGTCCTTCTTCCATAACAGAAGAACCTAAAGAAACTACTGGTCTTTTGAATGAATCTCGTAAACGCTCCATTGCAAAAGGAATTTCCACACCATCAGATACATCAGCGCAAGATACCCTCTTATGAGTTAATAGAGTTATGGAAAAACGGAAAAACGATTAGAAATGGTTGTAACAATTTGATATTTCACTTGTTCTATAGAACAGATCGTTTATGTATACTATATGATTATTAAATATATCTTCGTCAAATATTCTTTCATGAATAAACTTGAAGTAATCATGTTGCATATGTTATCATTGGTATTCACCAGTCAACTGTTTATTTTGTTTCGAATTTGCATACTTTTTCTATTTGGACTTTACTCTCCCTAAATCATCTTTAGCTTAGTCTGCATGGTACTGCTTTACTTAGTATTCTTCTCATTTTTCTGCCTTTCCCTCAGCTTTTCATCTTTCTTATTCTTTCTTTTATATTCATACTCGCTCTTTATTCCTCAATCATCATCCTTCTTCTTCTTCTTCTTCGTCTTTCTATTAAAGTTTTCTTTTTGCCTTTCTATCCTTAATCAGCATCATTTCCTCTTGTTTGGTCATCTCAATTGTCCTCTCTCCTTCTGCCACTTCCTTCCCTCTCTTTCTATAGCCAACTTTCGTCTTTCTCTTTATTCATCTTTATCTTCCTCTCTACGCATATATGTAGCTCCAATCAAGACTTTTCAAAGAAGTTTTTATTGCTTTAAAAAGGTGGTAGTGTATCTACAAGACGGTTTTGAAAGAACTATTCCTGCTCCTAAAGATTCCTTTGCAAACAAGAAACAGGCAAAGTAAGACTGCGACGAACACCGTACATGTGAAGAAAACAAAGAGCAGCACTGTGAACCAGTCAGTAGTGACGCAAACCAATTGCGCTGAATCCTCATAAACGTTCACTGAAAGTATGATGTGAAAATGAGGAAGCAGACCATTGCAAGAGAAACAGGAAACGGAAAAGTTAATAGATGTCATACTGTGTGAATCATTGACATCTAAGACGCTGATCTGTTGAGATTTGACTGACGCTTCTTCATTCAAGGTCACGTCTCTTTTGCCTCGCATTGGAGATGGGCAAGTGTCAGATGAACGCTTAAAATTAAATATACTTTTGGTTTTCAAGGAAACATGGTCTCACAATGCATGTTCCATTCTTACTCAATGTCAGCCTAACTGCACATTGAAAATATATGATTGGTTCATCGGCGAACTTGAAAACCTATTAGAAAAAATGGGGGATGATGATATATTCAAACTCTAGTGCTTACATCCGCTTCACGGCCTCCTACCATATCAGAAGTGTACTCTAAGTTGTTCAATAGGTATCTGTAGTTAAGGAACGCTTTTTTTAAAGACTGGTGTTAAAACCATACTTGTCAACAGCGCAACCGTTTTCATCTAACAATTGAACTGAAACGTCATTTGAGTCATGAACATAGCATGAATGAACTGTTGCACAGAAATGTTCTACACAATAATATAGGAAAACAAAGTTGTGTGTTAATCAATAATTTTTACCTGTACCAGAATACTCACATGACCATCTATGATAAACAGACTGTCCGATACTTGTCAATCTCACAGGGGCTCCAAATCTTGATGATAATACCTACAATGTAATTATTTTTTCTCCATCACTCATTAAAGTACGTGTGCTTTATTGCGCAAATAGGTTTAATTGATTAATTTGAAAGAAATTAACCTCATATTTGCATTGAGGCAAAACATCTTTGCCACCATCCGCTTCTTTTGCATTTCTTAAACATAAGCGTTAGATAAGCGAATGAACTTATAGTTTTACTTGAGAATATTTTCATCAGCTTTGCCACGTAAAACTTCTCGGCCTTCGTCAGATATCCTTGAAAATGATTAATTGACTAGATCTGTTCTACATACATATATTTACGTTAATTGTACTTCATTTTCAACATTATTCTTGAGATGAGCATAAAAGCATTCAACATTGAACGTCCTATCTGATTTCAATTGAAACATCTATAAAATTATTTTTTTTAAATTTCTCGCTTATATGGTTTATTCTTCTGTTTATGCTTACTGGGTGAAATGAAATGACAATAGTTGATGAAATTTCAATTCCATTTACCTAAACAGAAAAAAAAGATAACTTAAGTGGTCAAACAAGTAATTTACCAAACGAGCTTTTTTTACTTGACAAGTATCATAATTAACTGTCAAGCTTGCTTCCTTGCTTAATGTTGGAATAGATTTGCATTGTTTTTGTCTAAGGAGAAGAAGAAAAAATAAAATTAGATGAATGTTTCTCCTTCTAAGAGATTCGCATCATTACTTATATTGATCTTTCACATATATGTGTCCTTCAAAAGCCTCAACCATATCGAATGAAACGGTCATACTGTTTGGTCCGCATTCCACTTTCGGTTCTCCTAAAAACGAAAAGAAGCTTTTTAAAGTTTTGAGAGATAATGATGAATCTCAAATTACTGTAATTCAATTAATTCATTCATTTTAAAATTCAATTTGAAAAGAGCTAATGGATACGTTTTATGTGTTCGCGTACCTATAATTCCATTAGACAAAACTTCTGCACGAGCTAATGATAGCATTAAAGCAATGCTTAAAAGCTTTTGAGTCATCTAAATAAATGGATTAAGCATTATTGCCAACGATAGTAGGTGTTAGCGATTGAAAAGAAGGAGGGAGAGAATACAAATCATTTTCATTTTCAACTACACATAGATACATTGAATAAGATTGTAAAAGCTAACTCATTACATACATTCAACATCTATTATCAATATTCATGCAAATATATGATACTTGATTGATTCAATTATTCTGAATCGTCTGAGAATGCCATGGAAACGATAAGAATGAAATGTGAGTTACTATACATATATGAATCTGCATGACATAATCTTATATTGAAACACAAACATAATAGAGAAAAAGGTTAAAATCATCCGTTGTTGTCACATTCCGTTAGCCGTAATAGAAAGTCAAATGACAAAATATCTTTGTAATGTTTTTTAATAGCATTGTCGTTTAACCGAGCATGATACAACTGGTAAGAATGCAATAAACCGCTTCTAATTTCCTTAAAAGTCTTTTCAATGTCAACTATAATTTTACAGCGTCTTTTGCTGTATATGCCATCACAATTCTTTCATTGTTCCAAGTACTATTTTTCCATTATTTTTACAGTTTTCACTTTTACCTTTCGTGTGACTGACTAGCTCATCCAGTTTTTTTTTCTGACATTTCTTTCCCGTTGTCTATCCAATCTCTTCATTCAATACCTTGTTTTCTTCAATGAAATATTTCAATTGTTAATATACTTCCAAGTAGCTAATTGCGGCATTCTCGTTTTCGTTGTCCATTCAGTAAGAATAGTTCTTTAGTGTCTTGTAAGTTTTGGTTCACAATAAACCAGAATTACGTTGTCACGATGGGCTACAAATCTTTTGAGAAATGTCAGAAAAAAGGTCGAAATATGCTGGATAGAACCTTCTGATGTGTTAAACTGAATACCCCCAATAGTACTTTTGATTGTTACGATGGATGAAGAAGGAATTGAATAAGAAAAACAGAAATATTAGAAATAATCCTCATTGAATGAGATATAGGATTATGTTTGACAGCCAATTGAACCTTAAGAAATCCCACTTAATCCCATTTCAAACATCTATAAGTAAAAAGCAAAGTCGATCGTAGATATATTATACAATTCATTATATCTTTAACATTATATATTATCATATTATTAATAAGTTTTTTAATTGTTCTTAATTCATTAATCCCCCTGTCCCCATTTTTAACCGACGCTGTTTGCTGTTTACAAATTGCAGGCGTCATCAATATTGCGCGCCTCGACGCACTAGCCGTTGGACGAAAATATCTTTTTGCGTTAATTTCATTTAAATAATTTGTTCTATGTTAATTTTTTCAGGTATATCAATAGTTTAATATAAGTAATGACAACATCACCAAAGCGTATTGGACGGAAGGTATGTTATAGGTTTTATCCTTTATAATAGCTCTAAGAGTATAAATTATTGTATATGATTGTTAATATGGCTTTATAGGGTCCAGTGACGCCACCTCTACCACCTGATGAAGACAATGATGCTACAAAGGTTTGTATATCATATGGTTTGATTAGGTTATAATGTGTTAAGCCTGCAACTCCTAAGCGATTTCATCTTGTTATGGACAACATATCTTCTAGTGATTCTGAAGGCGAATGTGAAAAAGAAGTTAAACCAAAGTAATTATTTTATCATTTTCATCAGCTTTTTCTTTACTTTGCTAAATGACGAGAAAGAAAAAGAAAGTTCGTTTCTCCATTAGTATCATGATTCATTTTTCTTTTTATTACACTGCAAACTACATTCCAGAAACGTCATCGTAGAACCAAAAATCAGTTGTTCTGATCCTCCACCAAGGTATATGAGTTGATATGATATTCATAAACTCTTTATGTTTTTCAGGAAACAACGTAAAGTAGTTCGATCATTTCTACATGAGTATGTTTTCGTTTTTTTATTTTCAAGCAGATAGATTTAACAGAGATTTTGGATTAGTATGAGATAGAGGGAACGAGAGAGAACAAAAGACAAAGATGGTAGAGGAAGAGAGTCAGAGAGATAAAAAAGTAAAGGGATTGAGATGAAGAGAAATACCGCTTGTAGATAGAGAGATAAAGAAGCAGATAATGTCTCTGTGTGTGTGTGTGTATAAAGGTGTGTAAAAAAACTTTAAACTCTCAATTAATTTCATGAAATCTTGTTTTTCTACGCTCTGCAAGTTTGCTGACCGTCAGTGAAAAGCGTCAATGTTTCATCTAATTTTGGTTATGAACAGGGCAAACAATCAGTATCTGATTTTCGAACATACACTAACATACATACATTCGCCGACACTTTGTTCTAATCTTTTGAAGCGTTGCATTATATTAGAGTTTGATTGATTTAAATAGCCAGCAGGTCAGGTTATTATTCGATGACAACAGGAAATTTTCTGTCATGATACACATTTGATCAGCGGGATTGTTGAATCATTTGATTTCTCGCAATCATTATTCTCTCCTAAGATAATTCTGTATCATTTCCGTAGGATAAGCGTTTGTAGTTTCCTGTTTTCTTCGAAATAGATTGTTTCATCTTACGTATATGATTTTTCATTGAAATTTCATGCGCATCTGATCGATTGGGGTAAAAGAATATTGATGGAAAAATTCATAAAAAGAAAAGATCAAACTGATTGTTTCGTCATGCGAATTTTCATTGAAATATCCCATCATAGCGCTGTCATTATCATCTCTTTCGATGAACAGAACATTTCAAAACGTTTTCATAGACTAAACTCAAAAACAAACGTTCATAAGTTTCAAAATATTTTCGCTTAACACTTATCTCAAAAACTAAACAATATTCATTTTGATTAGTACTTGAGAAGCAAAATGTGTTATTGCTTCTTCTTTTTCTCATAGTTTACTCTTCTGTGCAGTATTCACACATAATCTCTCATCTCATTTGAAATAATTATTCATTTTTTTGTTTTATATCATCAATGCTTGATTGAATAGTTTTCCCATCCATATTCTGTTCCTGAAATATATTAAAACTCTTGGACAAAGTTTTTTTTTTCTAAGATGCGCTGGAACCGACTGCTTCTCTCTTTGCGCTTTCATATATTATTCGTCTTTCTGCTGTTTAACGAAGTTTGAGAAAAAAAATTTTTCTCTAACAACGAGGAAACTCTTATTCCTCAATATTGTAAGATGTTGAATCGCATTTTCTTCATCTTTTTTTTAATGATCTGGAAAATTGACGTAAATTGCCTCGAGCACTCAAACATTTATCCGTCGGAAGAAATGTTTTTTGCTGCCTTGCATCTGACAAATCAGAACTCCTAAAGAAAGTTTTTTTTCCGCTCCCCTCAAATCATTTCGCTTTTCCGCTATCTTGCTCTGGATTGATCCAACAATATTCATTCTCTTTTAAATTTATCCTGCTTATTTCTGCCGAGACCCACTTTTCTCATTCTTTCACCTCTCCGTTCTTACATTTGTCTTTAGTCACTTATCTTTTTCACATATATCTTCTTTTTATGAATTTTCTCTTCACTAGTTTTCTTCATACGTACTAACTTTGCTACTTGTCGCTGGACTGCTTCTTTATTTGCTTTGCATCTCCAATGCGCAGTCTGTACAATTCTCTCTGAACCAGCTCAAATTTCTGAATACATTTTGATTATTCTATCCTTTTTTATGTAAAGTTTTACTTTACTTCATTTATCCAATGCTCTTAAAGCTTTCTGGCTTCTCGCCTCATTTTACAACTCAAACCAAATATCTTTTTTTTTGTGCTGGAATTTTTTCATCTTTGTCGTCATCCATTCCTCCAGTAGCGGAGAAAATATATGTAAAATTGCAAAAGTCCTTAAATTTTGAAACAGCTGTCATCACGGAAGTTTTTTGTTCATTTTTTGCATTGTAGGCCTGGCTTCGAAAAATTCAAACAGCAACTCAGCGAGAAATCGAGCAGGTATGTCGAAATAGTTGAAGAGCATACTAAGATTGATTATATCTGCTCTCATAGGGTGGTATTTGTTGTGATATAAAAATGAAAAGATTTTTTGTCAGTTCGTTGTAATGTCATTCTGATTTACTTTATAGCTATGTCATAACAAATCCACCTGAGTATTCTATCGCTTCATATGTTGTTGTGTTGTGTTGTTCGATTTCTCATCTCTTATCACTCATTTTAGAAAAAATGGACCCAATAAGACAGATAAAATCGAGACAGCTGCTGAACCAGTATCAGATGATGATGAGCAAATGCTCGATCAATTGCGTACACGTATATCTCGAGATGCATTACTGAATCCAAATTTGTTCATGCAAAGATGTCACGAAGTCATTCGGAATGGAGATTTGATGGTGAGTTTTAACATACATGTTGTTTCTATTGGAGCGTTAACTATAATTTGACGCGTCAACGACTTATGTTACGTGAAAATCTTTTTGTCAAACTTTATAATATATTGATTAGTATTGTTTCGAACTGCGAAATGTGCTCTAGTGATTATCGTAAAATTTTCTTTTGTTTGCAGTCATCTTGAAGATGATACTTACGGCAAATCTTAAGCTATGCTATGATTACAAACATTTTGGATGAAACGAGAGAGCTCAGTAGAGAAAAAAATGTTGCAACTATTGGAACTGATTGATTATATATATATTTTTTTTTTCTTTATTGGTTCTCCAAACAAACTGTGAGCGAATGATTTGACTTTTGCGAAAAGCTCTAATTGCGCCATCATTAATACTCATTGGTCTTCCTGACAAACAAAGGTGTTCAAGCATTCCGCCACTGACATTGTAATGACCTTCAAATGTGTACATTCACATTTCCTTATATATTTATTTTCACAAGTTAGAGTAGGCAGTCCAAAGGTCAAGTGATGAGCTACCGTTTTTAACGGTACTATTTATAAAGGATGTCTTCTCTCTCAGCAAATATAATAGCACTGCGCAGACTTTTTTTCTTTCTTTTTTGGTTTTTAGTTAAACTCAGAGCTAACTCGAGAGACCGATTACATTTCACATGTGAATCTAAAATTAATTCAAAAGAATTGTAATTTTGATGACGTTAATGCACATGGAGCAGTTTTTTTTCCGTTTCCCGTTCTTTTTTTACGACATTCGGAAGTTGAAATTGGACGACAGATGTGATGAAATCGGCCATAACGAGGCTATAATGCATCTCTCTGGGTGATCCAATAGACTGAAGAGTGAGATTATAGGATTCAGCATACTTTGTTTTATTTCATCTATCCCATAAATCGTCTCTCGACAGAAATTCATATACGAGCGCTTCACATAAAAAAAACAAAAACCGCCTTAGATCTCAGACCCTCTATTCACCATCAAATCGGTTTTTTTGTTCATTCTTTCCCCCCTCAGTATTTAATAGGCGTTTGACAGCTGTTTCGTCAAAAAAGTTGACCGGGTGGATCATTTACTTTTCATCTCTTCTAGTGTTTCTCATATTTTGTTCAATCTAGAGTTTCACAGAGGCAGGCAAGATGAAACCTGCCGAGACTAGTATATAGACTTAAGCTGCTGCCTGAAACTTTATACACTGCATTACTCAAATAAATTTTTGTTTCAGGGCGGAAATCTCAAAGATGACGATATTTCCAATCAAATTAATGTTGCTCTTATGTTGGAAGAAGAATTGGATGCGTTGATCGAAAAGAAAAATAATTTGAAAGAGTGAGAACCTATCCTTTATCTCTTGTGTTCATATCTAAAGTCAATTAGGAATCTTGACAAAATGTGTGATGAAGAACGCAAGTTAATCCGGGAACTTCATTCAGAGCTTCCACCATTCATGCAAGACGTCGTTCGCATTGAAGGAGATGAAATAACGATCGTTGACGGTTTTAATGCTTTCTTCCAATCTTTTTATAATACTTATAACTTTTAAGAGCCTTCGAAAGTTCATCATCTAATGGAATTAAAGATGGACAAGGATAAACCAAACACATCCATTCCACCCCCCGATATAACCAAAGTAGATGTGACCCAAATTACCATTGTTGAACAAATAACTAAGAGTGATATCGATGTTTCCATGATCCCTACAACTATCATAAAAGAAACAGAAGTCTTTACTCAACCGGTATGTCAAATAGTCTCTTTTCTTTACCCTGCACCAATCAATAACAATATCGGGTTTATGAACATAATGACATTCAGGCGACCTCTTTGCAGCAGACTCGAGACTATCAGAAGGTAATAGATTACCCTCCACCACAGCATGGGACAATACCACAGGTGCTTATATCTTGCCGACACGTAATTTAACCTCCATAGTTTATAGAACACACTAACAAATCTTGTACCTAACCAAGCACATTTACCGCCTCCACCTGTTTTACAACTTTCGCAGGTACTAACATGTTGCTGATGACGGCTTTGTATTAATTGTCATCAATTTTCTGCAGCCATTGCAACAGACGGTTTTGCCGAGCAGTCCTCAAGTATCTGTTCCAAATATAACCAGAACAGTGCCATTGCAACCTACTTCTTACTCTTTGTCGTTCCCTCCTCCCTTCACACCAGCGTACTCTACCACCAAACCTTCTCCCCAAGAAACTCATCAACAGCACATTAAGCTGCAACAATTGCAACAACAAACTGAATTTCAGCAGGATCAAATCCGCAAATTGCAAGAGCAAATTCATCAGTCTCAGCAATATGGGCTATTCCCATCAGTGCCTAGCATGATCTCGTGAGTTGTTCTTTATGTATTAGGTGTTTAACCCATCTGTCAATATTCAGAGCTGGTAGCGAGGTCCCACCAGTTAACTTGTCCATGCGTGAGTTTTTCAGCCATCAATTTCTTTTTGTAGTTATTTTCTCCTTTTTAAGCACCACCATGCGTTCCCTATCCAATGGGCTTAGAAATGAAGCCACAAATTACATATGTAGAAGAAAAGCCAAAAATCACTAGAACGGAAATAAATGACAGAGAGACCATTTTCACTATTAGCGCACCAGCTAAGAGAAACGTAGTTGTTCGATATGATTACAATATAGTGCACCAAATGCCACCTGTTCCACAGGCACCCAATGTAAACGTCAGTCATAAAGTACTCAAAGGTTGTCACAAATGTCATCTTTAAGGTTCCACCTCCCTGTATTTCCGGAATTAATCCTTTCATGATGTCAAACGCTATTGGTGCAGGTATAATTTGCAATTTTGACTGAAATTTCAAAATGTTTTGCTTGATTTAAGAAAAAAAAGATGTTGAGTCTACTTCTTCACCCCAGACCTTCCGAGCTGTGAGTGATGCTGGAACATCGAATCCACAACCTAAGGTCTTCATAAATCAAAATTCGAAAAATAGTTTAAATTTGTTTCAGCCAGTTAACGATCTGTCAAAAACAATTACCAACCTCATCACTAAGGCCATCAAAGTGCGTCAAAAAGACTTTCACAGTTTTTTGTACCGTTTTTATTTTTTTTTAATTTTTAGAGCAACAACTCTAGCCCTGTGAAGGAAAACCCGTTGCCTGTCAGCAATTCTTCCGCATCAAATTCGCCATACACAAATCCTCCGAGCTTATTCCAGCTATCTTTCAATCCTCCAGTCAAGCTTCAGCGTACCAATCCACTAGCGTCTAAGCCCAATTTGGTTTGTTTTGCTTTCCAACACGAAAAAATATTTTATATGAGAGAAAAAGTATCTGCCAAAGATTTAAAATAAGCTGAATAGTTGATTGAAAAACAAAATCAAAATTGAAATTTTTAGCCAAAGTGATGATCAAGCCGGATTTTCTCATCAACGACCATCAACATACATATAAGAAATATATATTTATTTTTTTTTTTATCAATTATCGTGTTGTACTTAGCTTTATTTGACTTATATTATGCTAAGGTTTACATATGCTTATCTCATGCGGTTAATTATGGATGTGCTCTTATCAAACTACCATATGCATTGATTGCGTTCAAAAGTTCAGGAGCCCAGAGTACTCTTATTACATTCGAGCATTTTTCATTAATGGCCATTGTTGTGAATTCATAATCTTTTCTTCCATGTTATAAATTCCATTTTACTCTTTATTCTTGATAATAACATCGGTTCTTTCAACCGTATCATATCTTTTTTTTCCACTTTTCATTGTTTTACACTCTGTTCCCTTCACACACTTTGCATCATTTTGTTACAGGCAGAGGTAGGTAGCTGTACCAGATTTGTTGGCACCATGTTTCCATTGACACCAGGTATATACTAACTTTAAATATTATAATTTATTACTTATTTATATTTTAGATATGCTAGAAGTTATACAAGGAATGTTCATTCCTGTAACAAACACTGATCGATTGCAACACAGACGCATACCATATCCTGTTCCGTTTAACTTCCCCTTACTGCCACAGATGAATGTTCGAGTATTAATAGTCAGAATGTTATTCAGTTTTATGCATATTTATAGAGTTTCCCACATATCGGAGCTGAAGGTCATCCACAGATGCGTAAATTATTCATTGGAGGATTAAGTCATGACACAAACGATGAAGCTGTAAGTCTAAAATGATTTTTCTGTGAAACGCAAAATATATTTTCTTCTTTCATCTTCAGCTCAGATCCTATTTCTCTCAATGGGGACCAGTAGTTGATGCTATAGTCATTCGTGAACCAAATACAAAACAATCGCGCGGATTCGGATTTGTTACATTCGCTACCATAGCTAGCGCTGAAAATGCCATGATGGATAAGCCTCATATATTGGGAGGCAAAGCAGTGAGTATTATCAAATCAATATTATCATTCTTGAAAAATATTTCACAAAATGAAATTATCATTTTGTGTCAAATGTTATTTCTGATCATATATGTAAACGATACGAATGCTATCAATTTAAAGTAGACATTCTCATGTTTAGTGCCCTAATTGATAAGAAATTTGTTCAGAAACATCCAGTAATACACTTATCATTTGTCCGATGTGCGACTACCTAATTATCTATTTGCCCATCAATGATAGTCCTAAGAACCATTACGACATTTACGGGGTTTTAAATGTGCATTTAGCATATCAGGAAAACCAATCAATCATTCAATTTTGCAAAACTTTATCAATTTCCTACAACTTTTTTTTTACTATTTTATGGCTCCCCCTCTCATGATAGGGATCATTAGATCACATCACTTTCAATCGAGTTATCTATCTCATTCAGTATCTTACCTTTTGTAGGTCGATTCAAAAAGAGCCATTCCAAGAGAACAAATGACACCAAACTTCCCACCATCATTCTTTAATTGCGAACCTTTACCAGGATGTAAGCTTATGCTCTCAGGTATCATAGTACATGGGCTATTCAACTCATTCTGTTTGTTTCAGGAGTGCATTGGGATTATCATTCAGTCGAGACACTCAGACGTTATTTTGAGTCTTTCGGTGCTTTAGAGCAAATTGAAGTTCTTGGAAATCCTCGTGGGTTAGGATTTGTCATTTTCGAAAACAGAAATGGAGCTGATAAATGTTTATCACACAACAATGGTCGTCACATGATTAATGAAAGAAGGGTTGATGTCAGAGTAAGTTTAAAACTTTCTTTGCCCTTTTCGTATTATTTTAATCCTTTCCAAAATTCTATCTTTAGCCGTTCCCAATTCAAAATTATTGGCGCAGACCACGAACAGCAACTACTGAGGAAGCTAAACAGACTGTTGAGCAGGGCCAACTCAGCTATGACGAAGAGAGCAACTATGGAGGAACAACAACTGAAGTAAAGCGTGAAAATGAGAAAAACATTGTAAGCGATTTTTCAGGACGAGTGCAAGTCGAGCGAGAACGACGACAGCACTGCTGCATCGGACACTGATTCCTTAACAAATGCCATGACTACCATGGCAGTGTAAATGATGCGCGCTCCTACATCTCTACCATTAAACAAACCCGCCAAGCAAAGAACCTTTCATTTTCTTTTTAACACAAAAAACATGCCTATTAGACTAGTACTAGTAATTCGGTAGCTGATTATCCCTATACGACACCTTCATATATATACCCAGTAATTCCTTCCCATTGAAACATATTCTAAGAGTAGTCTACGATTAGCAGAAAAGTATATTCCATAAGGTAATCAAAGTGATCTGTGATCATGAACACATTGATTATCTGAAACAAAAAAAAAGTCAAAAAAGATTTATATTTAATCGAATAAGAAAAAAAAAGAGAAAAATAAGATGAGTTGTGTAAATGTGAAAGAAAGTCTTCCATTTTCATTTCATATAAAGCAGCTGATTCATTCGTTAAGAGAAGAATTTTCTGTGAATGAGAAAAAGCTGGTAAAACCTTTATTGTGTTTCCTTTTTCAAAATGATAATAATATCATTTTTTTTTCACGAATACTCCTTCTTCTCCCTTCCGTTTCCGTAGTGTAGTACTGTAAGAGGGCTGTTGATTTGCCCTTTTCTCTTTTTTACATTTTCAATTATCATACACTTTGAAGAAAGGAAGAAAAAAAAGGCTTTTCCTATGGAGAATTCGAGAAAGAATGGAAAAAAAATGATATTATTTGACTGGTGAAGGATGGATGAAACTCTTTCTAAAAGAGAAGTAATCTATTATTACCTGAGAGTCTATGATTAGTACATGGTGAATTAAGAACATTCTATTCAGTAAAGAGCTTGATAATAATTGAAATTATGGATAGAATGCGCTTTTTCTTTGTTTTTTCGTGTATCAAACGAGTGTATGAGAGAGTTTAGCTTATACTTTGTGATAAAGTTTAAAAGAGAAAGAGAGTAATGGAGAGAGAGAGAAAGAGAGAGAGCGAGAGAGAGAAAGAGTGTGTGAAAAACAGTTTCTACTAATGATAGAGAGATTTTGAATTAGAGAAAGAGAAAAAAAAAGAAATATTATTTCCTTTCCAATTCATCAAAATTACATTTTTCTTTCATAACCTCCTCTCCCTCACTCCTAGTGATGTCCAATTCATTAGTGAGTAAAAGAAAAACAAGTTTTATTCATCTTGTATGCATATTTCCAATTAAACTTGACGTATAAGACTTGTGAGCAGAAGCTTGTTGTGTTGTTACCCAAACATCTTTCACCCTCCCTCCACTTTCATCTCTGTTATGTCCCTCATCTCCCTGACCCGAACATGGAGTATAAGCCCATAAAATTAATAATTTCATCTTTGAAACTGATATTAGATTATCATCAAATGTATCTCTTTTGATAGAATATCTATTAACAATCAGAGAAATATCAGCTTCAATGCAAAACGTTGACTATGAAGCCCATTTCAAACCGTAAACCATGAATATCTTTCCTAGTTTATCGCGTGAGTCATAGACTAATAGGTTGCATCATATATACACATTATATCGTATTTTATACAAATGTCATAGTCCTTTTTCTCTGATATTCCTACTCCAAACCGTCAGTCCTACCCCTCATACATCCTTCTTCAACCGTATATATCTTATCAATCTCTCCCATACTCTTCTTTCCTTTACCATTGTGAGCATCTAAAAATCATTTCTCTTTATCTATCTTTCTTTCTTTCTTCAAATCATATGTAATGTTTCTAACAAAAGTCAAATGATCATGATAGAAGCTTCTTCTCAGTATATTATATGAGAACTGACTATGTACGTAAGTCAAATAAAACAAAGCTCAAAAGATTTGTTCGTATATGACGAATAAATATAAATATACTCAATTCTGTCAATTTATATGTAATCCATCATCCCCCTCCCATTGTATGAATGTTTTCATCTTCCTTTCCTTTTTTTATTTTTTTATAATGAATTACATTTTTATGTTAAATAATTGAACAACAACAACAATTGTAGTTATAGACTTTCATGTTTCTTATTAATGATTGTAAACGAACAAAATACATTTTATATGTCTAATGAATACTCATATTGATTTGTATGGTATGGCAATGGCATCATCTACATGATGATGTGCTCTCTTACTTCTTTGGCTATATATCTATCTATATATTTTATTTTTTTAAGACTCTTGTGAAGTGAAAATTACAAATTTATGTGAACAAAATGGAAAAGAGGGAGGAAGAGAGGGATAGAGAGAAAGCATAATTTTCTTCCTGCAAATCAGACGACGGAGCCGATGATTGAAAAGAAGTAATTATGTGTGAATAATCATATATTTGAAGCTGTATTTAGAGTAAGAAAAGACAAATGGACAGACAATCAGAAAATAATTGAATGTTTATCGACTTTAGGCAAGTTGGATTACAATTGACACGCATATAATTCATTTATTTGTTGGACTTTTGTTGGCAGATGAAAGTTTCGTTCTTATAGACATCTTCATCGCATCCCATCTGTCTGGTAGTGAATACTACCAAAGCACTGCGCACATAGATGAACTGTTCATTCACTTCTTCCTAATAGTAAGTTCTGTTCAACTCGATTTATACTTTTCTTTTGAATTTCATCTAATAATCTGATTTATTTCATAGTTTCTCGGAAGCAAGAAGAGAAGGGTGGGTGGAACAATTGGCTAGTTAGGTTCCTCAGCAGGGACGGACCAGAGCTATGCATGTTCAAGAGCCCCTTCATTCGAAGCGAAAAATAAAATCAGAGCAATTTGCGTAGGAAAAGGAAACCGAATAAGACTGCATAAAATAGGCGATGAATTGAGAAAGAGGCGAATAATGATTTCCATTCCTTTCAAACATAGTTAGCTTCGTTCCTAATCCCTATGTTCGACCCATTAATCAAAAACTTAATTAACTATTACACGGGTTCGAAATGCAAATTATA